GCAGCAGCCCGCGGCGGCGGGTGCCGCGGCGCTCGCCCTCGGTGCAGCGGCCGGTGGCCCCCCGGGGGCCCCCCGGCAGCAGCAGCAGCAGCAGCAGCAGCAGGTACCCCAATGGAACTGCAGCACCAGTGTCTTATGGGTACAGCAGCAGAAGAGGAGAAGTACCCAGTTTGCTGCCGCCGCTGCCCCCAACAGCAGGTTCGGGTTTGGGGCCCCGGGGGGCCCCCGGGGGCCCCTGGGGGCCCCCCTCGGGGGCCTCGCCGTGGGGAGGGTACGGGGGAGCCCCCGGGGGCCCCTGGAGCAGCAGCAGCAGCAGCAGCAGCAGCCCGTGGCCGCGCTCCGCAGCAGCAGCAGCAGCAGCAGCAGCAGTCCACCCCAAAGACCCCAGAGCTGCCCAGGGGCCCTGGAGAGGGGCCTCTCCCCCCCCAGAGTTTTTTGCTGCTCGCATGCAGCTGCGGAATGAGCTGCAGCGGCAGCAGCAGCACAAGTTGCTGCGCAAGGAGCAGCGCAAAGGTCCCGCCCCAAACCCTAAACCCTAAACCCTAAACCCTCGGGGCCCCCGCGCCCCGCAGCAGCTCGCGGGCAGGGGGAGGGGTTGGGCGCAGCGGGCCAGCGCCCACACTCGCGCCGGGCTGGGGGTTTAGGGTTTAGGGTTTAGCGCCAGGGTTTAGGGTTTGGCGCGAGGGTTTAGGGTTTCGGGCTAGGGTTTAGGGTTTGGGCCTGGGGTTTAGCGTTTGGGGCTAGGGTTTAGAATCAGAAGTCAGGGCCAGTAGAAGCTCCGTGGCCAGGGTTCAGCGTTAAGGGCGAATGCCGGCCAAGGCGTGGGCCAGGGTTAGGGTTTAGGGTTTAGGGTTTAGGGTTTAGGGTTTGCGTGTGCTGCAGCGCTGCGGCGGCAGCAGCAGCGCGAAATAAACCGCAGAGAGCAGCCGCCCTTTTTGCTGAGGGTTTTCTGCCGGTTGGACTCGCAGCACTCTGTGGAGGAGTTTAGGGTTAGGGGTCAGGAGCCAGTGCAGGACGAGTTGCAGGTAAACCCTAAACCCTAAACCCTAAACCCTAAACCCTAGGTCCTCGCGGGCGGCGCGGGGCGCCCGCGCAGCTGCTGCGCAGCAGCGGCTGCCGCGCGCCGCAGCTGGCGCTGAGGGTTTAGGGGCGAGGGGTTCGCCCCGCTAGGGGTTAGGGTCTGGGGCCTAGGGTTTAGGGTTTAGGGTTTAGGGTTTAGGGTTTAGGGTTTGGGCGCAGGTTTACGCGTGGATGGACACGCGGCTGCGGGAGATTTGCTATTTAATAAAAGACGTTTGCGCGGAGGCGCGAGACAGAAGGGCTCTTTGGCACTTCAGGCTTTGCTACCCAGGTAAACCCTAAACCCTAAACCCTAAACCCTAAACCCTAAACCCTTGCCCAGCAGGAGCTTCCTAAGGGGGGCCTGAAGCCCGCAGCAAGCGGGGCGCCTGCCGCGCGGATTTAGGAGCGAGGTCTCTAGGGTTTAGGGCTTACGGCTTCTCAAGTTTTAGGGTTTAGGGTTTTTTAAGGCTTAGGGTTTAGGGTTTAGGGTTTAGGGTTTGCGTTTAGATAAGGAGGGCCAAAATGTGTTCGCCGACGTTGGGATGCTGCACTCGATTATTCCGGACCCGAAGGAAGACTCTCGCACTCTGGCAGTAAACCCTAAACCCTAAACCCCAAACCCTAAACCCTAAACCCTAAACCCTAAACCCTAGCTCGCAGGCTTAAGCTAGCGAATCCGTATCTCGGGAACCCCAAGCCCTCCGGAGCTGCTGCGGCGGCAGCGAGGCGCAGCGCGGGCGTGGGAATAAGTCCAAGGGTTTAGGGTTTAGGGTTTAGGGTTTAGGGTTTTGCAGGACGTGAAGTTTCAAGTGGGGGACTTTCTGGTGCTGTCGATAATTCGGAAGCAAAAAACTAATAAAAAACTGGCCCCACATCCAGACCCGAAGCTGCAGATGCAGGAGGGTTGGGAGTTTGCCCCGCGGCCTTCCGTGCTGCAGCAGCTGCCGCCGTTTGCTGCTGT